AAACTTAATTTTTGATTAGTAATATGCATTGCTAAGAACTTCATTTGGACAACTTTAAAGGCGATTTTCTCAATATTTTGATCCCTCAGATTCCAGATTTTCAAATAGTTGTATCTCGGCCAAATATCGTCCTATCCTAACAAACCCATACATCAATGGAAAGCTTATTTATTAATCTTTCAGATCATGTATACATCTCAATTTAAAAAAAAATGACCCTTATGATTGGTTTTGTGGTCCAGGGTCACATAATGCCTTATTCTGCATAACCATATTTTAGATCCCTTAAGATTAGATCCACCCCATACCTAAACTTAACAACTACCTTACTAAGTATTAATAAGCAGCAAATTAGGAGTTCATTGAAGCAATAGTCATAATTAATAGCAAGTTAATAGTGACTATTGGATCTTAAAATAAAGTGTGACCATCAATTTTGATACCACAAGAAAAGTAATGTTACAAAACATGCTACTATAATAAATAGATAAATATTAACAAAATATTGAATATAAAAAATGAATGGCATTTAACCTTTAATGATTTCACAAATAAATAACTAGCATTTTCTTTACTGCATCATTATAAAATAACACATTAAAACGGATTGATTCTGTTGAGATTCAGACCAATAAAATTAGCTGTTTTTTCTTGTCTTAACTGTGTAAATATGTGTACCAAATATACAGTGAAACCACAGCAAAACCATGCTACTGAACATGATACTACACAAACAAATAATAAATATCAAACAAAATACTAAATTAAATATTAAAATAATTTAATAGCATGCAGTCTTCAATGATTTGGATATCACATAATTCAATTTCTCAATTAAAAAAAACAAGAATTGTCTTCAAAGAATCATTATTAAATTATATTTAATAATTAAAGTAAAAACATTTTTTTTTTCTGTTTGATTCTAAAGGGCTTCTAAAAAGCTACTGAAATTGTGATTGTTTTTCTGTTGTTGTTTTCTTTTCATTTTTCTTGTCAATATTGTTTAATCAACTTGGTATTTTTGATATCTTTAACCATGATCAATCACTTACACTGTACTCTTCCCGGAAGAGTTTCCCATCATCGGCCGAGCGTATCCGATACTCTTCTTCTAAACTGTCTACAGGAATGGGGAGATATGTTTTGGATGTGGAAGGGGATCTGGGCAGTAAGACCACCGTCTGTTGTTCTGTGGAGGAATACGGCACATGAATGTTATAATCAAACACTCGAAAAGTAAAGAATCTCTAGGAGATTGAAATATATATTAACGGTTTCTAAATAAGTGCAAATTTACAATCACCTCAGCGACTGAAATACAAACACACACACACACACACACACACATACACATTTAACTAATTGGATTGACAGGTTCCACTGTTTATATAGGTTCCACTGATGTAGTTAAAAAATAAACATCTTACTACATTACATCTGAAACTGAATTTTGTTTATAGAACTGCTGAATAAAAACATTAACTTTTTGATTGCTAATGGAGGACAGCACATTTCCTGTCCTTATTTCATATAGTGTTTCATTACTGAACGTTCCATTAAATTTTTCCATTGTGATGTTGTTTTCAAGATAATTGAACATATTTTACCCCCAGTTTGCATTACTGTAGTTCTATATATATATATATATATACACACACACACACAATGTATGTGTGTGTATACATGTGCTCGTTTTTGTGACAAATGAGGACATAAATTTGTATAATGACAAAGGTATGACATAGGTATTACAAGGAGAAGGTGACTTTTCAGGACATTACCCCATGTCCCCACTTTTCAAAACGCATATAAATCACACAGAATGGAGTGTATTGAAAATCTGAAATAGCACAAAGTTTCCTGTGAGGGGTAGGTTTAGGGGTAGGGTTGGTGTAGGGCAATAGAATATACGGTGTGTACAGTAGAAAAACCATTACGCCTATGGGATGTCCCCACTTTTCACAAAAACAAACCTGAGTGTGTGTGTGTCTTATACACATACAGGTGAGGTGTGTAAGTACAATTGGTCTATTTTATCAATCAATTTGATTTATTATTCCATAATTTAGACAATAAATGGTCCCATAAAAGCATAATATCTTAACAACAAACTGAGAAATGCATTTTTATTTGAAGAAAATCATGTCAAACCTACGCTCATGGTTTGGTCACCCAGGAAAACAATCAAACATGCTAAGTAACACCATAATGTTATTTTTCAGGAAAGCTATCAGCATGCCCTTGTAAAAGAACTATAGGCATATTTAAAGCAGCATTTGCATATCGACCTCATAAACATTAACCAGAAAACCGCCAGTGACCCTCGTACCACCGAAAGAAACCCACAACCATTAGGTTAGAAATGTTAGACATTATAGAGTTTAGACTATAAACTTCATGCCTGTTCATGAGACACCACATATACCTGACCTTCTGACGGCCAGCCAAGATCATCCTCATCCTCATCTTTATCCACATCTATATATTCCTCTATACAACATACAGTACACACTAGGGCTGCACGATAAATCGCATGCGATATTTAACGCGCATCTTGTCAGTAAAGCCATTCTGTAATCAGCGGTAAATCTCCATCACGTGCGGGCTTTCACATGGAGCAGCATTAACTACACAGAGCCGTTGTTCACCGACAAGCTGCGCAAAACATGCGCAAAATATGATCGTGGTTTTGCGCAGCTTGTCAGTGAACAACGGCTCTGTGTAGTTAATGCTGCTCCAGCTTTCACATTGAGCAGCATTAACTACACAGAGCCGTTGTTCACCGACAAGCTGCGCAAAACATGCGCAAAATATGATCGTGGTTTTGCGCAGCTTGTCAGTGAACAACGGCTTTGTGTAGTTAATGCTGCTCCATGTGAAAGCACGCAGGTGATGGAGATTTACCGCTGATTACAGAACCGGCTTTACTGAGAAGATGCGCGTTAAATATGGCATGCGATTTATTGTGCAGCCCTAGTACACACAAACACACACATAGTGACCGGTGTTACATCAGCACTTAGACTTAAATAAATAAATAATGCTGAAAACACTGGTTCCTGAATACACTACAAAACATTTAGTTATTAAAAGTAGCAGACTTAAGTTAGTTAATAAATAAAACCATAAAAATGAAATTTTGCTTGATTATGCATCAAAGTGCTGCCAGGGTTTCCACAAAAATGTGAGCAGCACAACGGTTTTTAGCATTGATAATAATCAGAAATGTTGCTTGAGCCTCAAATCAGCATATCAGAATGATTTATGAGGGATCGTGTGACTGAAAACTGGAGTAATGATGCTGAAAATTCAGCGTTTCATCAAAGGAGTAAATGACATTTTACTGCATATTCAAATAGAAAACAGTTAATTAAATTGTAATAATATATTTCACAATATTACTTTATTTTACTGTATTTTTTGAACATTAGTGTACATCAAAGAGGCAAACAAATGGTGGCATAGAAAGCTGCAAGTTGGTAAACCACTTCCTTTACACCAGTGTGACGTTCCTCTGAACACTGAAACAGTCGCTCAGATTGAAATGCAAACTGAATTGAACACAGCAAATGTCAAATGCGTGTTTAGAGCGTGTCGTTTCACGTCTTGGCTCACAGAATATCCCTCGAGGGAGATTTCCGTCAGGATCGTAGGAGAAAGTGTGCAGAGGAAGTCTATTGCATAAATCTGCAAGACCTTCGACGAGACACACGATCTGCAGTGACAATTCGACTCTAGATAAGAATTTAATATCAAAACTGAAATCTGAGCACAGTTCGGACATCTAGAGGACATTAAGAGGGTCTGTCTCTCAGGAGAACGACCTGAGATTCTGGGGACTAAATCCCAAATCTCAGTTTAATCTCCATTCAATCTCACTGCTGTCTAAGAAACACAATCATATAGTCTGAAACAGAGCTATTTTATGATTTTTCTTACCTATGGCTAATCATGAGTCGCAGTTTTTGTGTCAAACAAGCAAACTAATAAAAGCAAACAGGAACAACGGCTTAAAACTGAACCTTCTTCCTCTTTCACATTTAGTCACATTTGAATATTTTCTTAAGGAAATATTGATAATCAAAGCACAAATAGCATTATGTTTCACCTCTGTATCTATGCAACAAAACAATAAATAACTCAATACATGCAGTTTAGCCGATATAAACGACATTTGGTGATTCGTAATATTGATATTTTCTCACTATTATTGAACTAGAAAAGTCTTGTCTAAAAGTAGAGTTTAAAAGATAACACTTTACAAAAAGGTCCCATTAGTTAACATAAATGAATGCATTAACTAACAATGAACAACACATTTGTTACAGCATTTATTCATCTTTGTTAACGTTAGTTAATAAAAAATAAAACTGTTCATTGTTAGTTCTTGTTAGCTCAAGTTAAAACGTTAAAAAATACAACATTTGATTTTAATATTGTATTAGTAAATTCACTTTAAGATTAATAAATGCTTTAGCATTTTTTATTGTTACAGTCGTTCATGTTAACTAATGCTAATGGAACCTTATTGTAAAGTGTTACCTTTTAAAAGTCTTTTTTTTAGGATAATTGGGCCATTTTTTCCCAGTCATCTCAATGGCAGAAAGTGGCCCAATTTACCTGAATACACCGTAGATTTAATAAAGATTAAAGCATTAAAACTAAAGTTTGTGAAATATCTTTGTAAACCCAACATCAATGCATATCAATGATTTGGACTTTGATTGTAAACATCAGTCATTCAGATGACCATATTCCTCAAAAACCACCATAAAAACCATAATATGACCCATAAACCTCAGCCAAAGTGAACTTTGTGTGCAATTATAGAGTCATTCTAGATAGAACAGCACGTGTAGCTCACAAAAACTCTCACGTCCTGCTCTCATACATCTTGAGACAACAGGAAGCCGAATATAGCACATTTGATCAAGTGAAACTTGCCAAGACATACAACAGAGCTCTCCAAACCACAAGTTACTTTTAACATAACTTAAACAACTAACATAATATGACCCATAAACCTCAGCCAAAGTGAACTTTGTGTGCAATTATAGAGTCATTCTAGATAGAACAGCACGTGTAGCTCACAAAAACTCTCACGTCCTGCTCTCATACATCTTGAGACAACAGGAAGCCGAATATAGCACATTTGATCAAGTGAAACTTGCCAAGACATACAACAGAGCTCTCCAAACCACAAGTTACTTTTAACATAACTTAAACAACTAACCCGGTTCGACGCAGATAATGTGAGCGCTTACCTTGCTCTTCCAGGATGCCATTCGGTACTTTCTTGTCGACGGCTGTGATGACAGCTTTCCTCTGGTTTTTCAACCTAAAAGAAAGCGAAGGACATTAGGTTTAAACGTGAAGACAACATGTGGGACGATATCCTAACGTCAAATCTGTCTCACCAACGAAAACTCGAGCTCTTTTTCATCAGAGGCGCTGTTTCTCCACAAACACACGCTATATGACACGCTCTCTACCATATAAAAATCTGTGGGTTTACCACGGTGAGGCTGTGTATGAATAAATGTGTGTGTGTGTGACAGCATGTCTCAGTTCCTGGACCCGCCCTTAATCAGAAAGAGGTGGAGCTTACAAGCATGACAGACTCACAGCGTTTGTGTGTGTGTGTGTCATACCTGAGGCAAAACCAGGTCAGCAACCCTAGAAAAAGCACCAAGACGGACAGACCCAGCAGTATGGGCAGGATGGGTGCGTTTGACTGCTCCGGGTCCTCTAAAGGAAGAAGGAGAGGCAGTTAAACCCACAGTGAACAAAAGAACAGGAAACTGGCCCGCGAACAGAGCCGCTGGAGCCGGAACGAACACACTTAGCTGCTCTGGCGCTGAGCGTATCAGTGAGGTATGGCAGCCAGTCAAGCTAAGACATTATTAGTGATTTAATAGAGTGCCTGGTATTGTTTTGACTGCGGGATAAGCATCGCTCATTCATTTAACAGCAGGTTTGACATGAATCACCCGCTTAACCCTGAGACCAGCACTTTACTGCAACCCAAAAATCACAGTCTGCGTAATGCACCACAGATTTAACACAAATCCACATGGCCACACTGATGGTTATGTGATGCAGAACACTGAAAACCACCAGGAAAGACTCGCTGAAAAATCATCTCGCTGAAAAATGTTACACAACTACAAAAGCCGGTTACTGTAAAGGTCAGTAAACTTTTTGGCCACTGAGTTTCCATGACTTTTTCATTCATACATAATGCCTACATTCTGAAATACATTTTTAGAGGTTGCAATCACTTCAGAATGAATGAAAAAAAATCAGAAAATGAAAAATCTGAAAATGAAAAATGCTTACATATGTATGTATATGAAAAATTATATATTATTTCTGAAAACAAAGGTCTACAAATGCAATATACATACATTTATATATATATGTGTGTGTGTGTGTGTGTGTGTGTGTAGAGTCACCCCTTGATTGCTGCACACTTTTTTTCTGACCAGTGGATGATTTGTAGTTTGTACCACCCAAAGATTCACTGATTTTTCACATTTTTTCGTATTTCCCATTCATTTCCTATGTCGGTCATTTTTGACCGCGAAGAAGTCAAGTGTGGCTATTTTTTTTTGACCCTTTAACATATCCGAATCATGTCCATTATTTTTTTGTGTTCATATTGCTAATGTGACAAAAGTCACCAAGTGTCATCTCATTCCGATGAAGCTACGATTTTTAAAAATTCTAAATATAAAATGTTTCGGTCAAAAATGACCGAAGAGGGCCAGAGGGTTTTAAAGAATACAAAAAATATATAAAGTGTCATGGTTTCTGTGGTTTCTTATAATTGTAATAAATGCTTCTTGACCAGCAAATCAGCATATTAGAATGTGGCACTGAAGACTGGAGTAATGATTCAGTTTTGATCACAGGAATAAATTACATTTTAAAAATATATTTAAATAGAAAACAGTTATTTGAAATTGTAATAATTTCACAATATTTTAGTTTTTACTTACAACTTTTTAATTTACAATTAACTAAAATATTTTTAAATGACTATAATTTTAATACACATTCTAATTATTCTATTAATTAATTAATTTATGTATTTATTTATTTTACTGTTTTTGATCAAATATATGCAGCCTTGGTGAGCATGAAAGACTTTTTTCAAAAACAAAAAAACCCAATTTCAAAAACCCAATTTTTTTAACAGTATATTTTGCCAATACAGATAGACTCAAAACAATTGTTTTCAAGGTTACAGTTGAATTTAGGCATCACAACATTATAATTTACAGTAAAAATATTCATTTTTTTTATATTAACAATCTTTGATAAAGATCATGTATTAGATTACATTTTACAAAACTGTATTTTTTTTTTTTTTCAAAAATATTTGAGCGTTAAATGATGGCAACGGTACAGTAATCTAACTTTATAAATAAGAAAAATTAATATGCACAATTACATATTCAAAATCGATAAATTAAAAAATAAATATTATGTCCGCTAATAATCGATTAGGTACCAATATACAGTATTATGCATAAGGTAAACAATGACTATTTTCATTTTAGTTGAATTGAATCTTAAACAAAATTACCACTGATGCTAACTTTTATCTTCACATAATTACAGTCTCCTCCTTTCATCCGCGTCCCACACTTCCCTCGGTCAGCGAGCATGAGATGTGTTTGTTCTGGCTGTGCTCAGGACTGCTCTGCTGTCTTTGCCCGCAGCAGATAGGCCACTTCTGAGACTCATTATTGTAAACAGGTCATGGGGTAAGGCTAGCAGACAGGCTCCTTTCATACGAAAGACATTTGCAGATAGCCTTGGGTGAGGCCTTATCCCGTCTTCAACATGTGTCGGAAACGGCCCGGGATGCACTCGCTGTATTAAATGGTAAGTGAGACTATCTCTGTTTGAGTGTGTGTGTGTGTGTGTGTTGCTAACTATGAATAAATTTTTTTTTTCAGCCCACACAAAAACTCCCAGTGACCACTTGCTGTATAAATGAGGAACACTCCTCATACATTTCCTTATGCAATCAGCGAAAGCAAGAATGAAAGTATATGAATGCTCGTGTATGAAGTGTGCAAATATGTATTTGTGTAGGTTGAATGTGTCGGACCAAATTGTCAGCGCACATGAATCTAGTGTATGTTGAGTATTTCTCTACTCCAAAACCTAGTGAATTCCATTGATATCTACATAGGCAGCATCCAAACTGAAATAGAAATAAAACCTCAGAAGTAGCTTATGTAGACTTAATTTCTACACAGGAAATAATTCAGCTCTCCTAATGGAAACCTTATAGGAGACAACTCGCTTCCAACTGAATTTGGCGAAAATAAAATACAATATGTTAATAATCATAAAAAAACACACATATATTGGGTGAAACAGGGCATATTAATTTAACATAAAAATGTAAATGATTAATTATAAAAATTCAAAACAACAATTTATAATAATAATTGTTGTTGTTGTTGTTGTTATTTTAAGTATTGAATGATACATTTAATATAAATATTTACTATATGTGTGTGTGCGTGTGTGTGTGTGTGTGTGTG